ATACAGTACGTATTTAATGTATAGTGCCTATCCTGCGTTTGCTAATCAAGAAATAGGACTCTTCGGTTAATGCGCCCGCCGCTTATCAAGGCCCAATTTGGTCTGGGCCCGAGGTGGGCTTAATAGCCGGCGACTACTGTAGCTGTATTTTGTGTGGCAATCCGTCAAAATCTTGCGGAAAGTTCGGTATCGTGAATCTGCCTTCACCTCATTTTTATTGACGTAAATTTTGGTTTTCTGTTTTTAGGAAAGATTTGTCTGAAACCTTTTGAATTTATATTAATGTTCTTTTATAGCACAATACAAAATACAAAGAAAAATGTTTTTCTGTAATATTAAATAGCATAAAAGTGTATTTTATCCCCACCAACTCCGACTGCCCAAATCATACTTACTTCTCTTCGTGTGCAAGATCGGAACTCATATTTGATAAAAAGGCTTTCTGGGTTTAAAATTATTAGGTTTGGCAGATTTTCTTAATTTGAGTTGACCCAATTGAGTAAAAAATCGAGGCGTTCGGCGGGATTTGAACCCGGGTAGTAGAGAAGGCCTTTACCGGAAGCCAACGCTCTAACCACCTGAGCTACAAACGCCCCACCTCGCGCCATGAATTTAATCGCACTTGGGTTGATAAATTTTGGCTGGTAATATCGACCGAAGGGTGATTAAATTTATGGCACGAGGTGGGGCGTTTGTAGCTCAGGTGGTTAGAGCTTTGGCTTCCGGTAAAGGCCTTCTCTACTACCCGGGTTCAAATCCCGCCGAACGCCTCGATTTTTTTCACAATTGGGTCAACTGAGAGTTTAAAATTTCCTCCACAAACCAAACGAACAAAACGAAATGTACACCAAACTTCCCATTCAAATGTCATTCAGGATATTTTGTGCGTTAGGTTGTTTACTGTACAAGTTATGAATAAAAAATTTGTTTCCGCCTTCAGGGAACAAGAGCTGCGCGAAATGGGTATCGCTCTTCATCGCGACGGTGGTTTAACCGGAGTGTTTTCACCAAAAGTACGTATGAAATGGATGTAGTTATGGTCAATTTATTTGACTGGTTTCCCTAACTTTATGCACAAAATGTGCCTTTATATTATCACGTACATATTTACTCATCAAGATATTGCTTCCCACCTTTTTGCAGACGCCTAATCTTGTTAATCTCAACGAGGACCCGGCCATGGCAGAATGCCTAATCTACTACCTGAAAGATGGGCGTACCAGGTTAGTTAGTGATGCCAGCTGCAGATTTTCCGATTAATGGTCCCCAGTAAATAAAAGGAAACTCCACCTCTACCACTTACCATACCGAAAAGATCGGTTATATGCATTCGTTTAAAAAACGAGAAATGTTTCCGGCCTATAATTGGGAATGTTTTAGGCTTTACTAACACTACGACAACAACTGGTAACAAATTAAATGTTTTTTTAGGCAAATAAGTTCTTTGTGAAACACACTAATTTTATTAGGTAACAATTTGAAGCTGGTTTCTATAGTTTTTGTTCCGATACGAGTAAATGTGCAAATTGACAATGAGCACAGGCAAAGGCAGTTGGCCAGGATGTCAGCTGAACATATGCCAAAGTGGTTGCTCAGAGTGGGAAATACAATACCTCAGAGTGAAATCACGAAATACCTATTGGACACTAGCCATACGGTCGACGAAATAACTGCATTTAAGATCGTACTTAGGGCGACAAACGGGCCTCTCCTACGATTTGCGGAGGCCGCTATAATATGGAGAAGAAAACCAGAACTCGGTAAGCAGCTGGATCGTGTGATCAATTTCGCATTGCCGTAGTAACTCATTGCCTCTCACGCCTCCTCGGTCCCCTTAGGACTGACTGCTACCCCGTAATCTGCCCTCCTCCCCCTGTAACTATGTCTCACAGGCTTTCGTGAACATGAACTACCATGCTGCGACAACTACCTCCACCCCTCCGCTACTCCCTCGCAATGTGTCTACATCTAAAGCTAATATCTTCTGCTAAATTTACTTATCAAGGTTCAGCTCCCTAGGTCGACACTTAATTGGACAGTTAGTTAAACTTATTAATAGGTAATGACATTTTGCTGGCGGATAAGAGTTCAAAAAGGCGTCAATTACTTCTGCTAATCTCATGATATTCGCCTTTTTCAAATAAATTCCAGGAAAACAATGTTTCAATTGTATCTCGTCCTATTTCATCATTAAGTTTTTGCATTTGCCTTTGGTCGGATGCCTTCTTTTAAACGGATAATTTGCTATGCCATTCTAGTAGCCTAGTAACCCAGTAGCCTACCGTTCATACTTTGTTACCTCGGTTGTGACGATCGCCGTTTAAGTAGAGGTATGAGAAAACTGCTCCGAAAGGCCAATTATTAATGAACAATGCGCCGTTTCCTTGTCCATTTGCGGCTCCTCAGACGCTGAGCGTGCTAGATAAAAGTACCTTCATAGTACATAGAACAATGTTATTCTTTTCATTATGATTGTCCACTGTTAGAACGACTTGCATGCTAAAAGGTACTGTTATATTAACTTCAGACTGGGACACCTGCACGAGGCAGAAAACCTAGACATTGGTTTAATTGGACCTTTTATTCAAAAGGAACACTGCGAATTCATCCTGGAAAATGGTACGTTTATATAGCCCCTTTCTTTGTCCTCTTAAATGACTGCGAGGTTTCCACTCTACAACAGGCAAAATATGTATAAATTCCCTACCCATCTCTTTATGTTCCTATGCTTTTTACACTTCTCCTTCTTCTTCCCTCACGTTTATTTTCCTACTGTTCCTCTTGTTCTAATCCTTCGCCTTATCGTCTTCCTCGATTTTTCATTCCTACCCCACCCCTCATCTACTTCACTGTCATTATCGTAAGTAGCGCAATCACTAGCACTTCCCTTTCTCCACCTCTTGCTGTTTTATATGCCCTAAGTCCTATCTCTATGACATCAACGGTTTATTTACATTAAAATATCGCCCTGTTCGTTCCTTGTTCCTTTTTTTACCTGGCTTCTTCTGTTGCCTGTTAGCCTGTTACAAACGCCGGAGTCCTTCTCGCTCTGGTTTATCCTTGATTTCGTACCCCGCGTCGATATGTTGCTACCTAATTTCTACGCCTCAACAACTTTCAACATCTTTATGTTTGTTTTTACTTTTCTTCTACTTCCCTCTCTCTATCCCCTGCAGCAGCTCTACTCTGCACATCTTTCATGTCCTCTCGATTTCGACACACCCGCAACTTACCAGTTTGTTATATATTATTATGCTCCTAATTCACCCAAAATTTGTACCAAACTTCCATGTTCGTCGACAGCCGCATCTACCTCAGGGAATTCGCGCCTAGTTTTGTTTTCGTATGTTGAATAAGAACCACAGGACGTGGTTATAGCACAGCAGGCCTTACTATATCTCATTATATAGGCACTCCTATGAACCAGCAGTTATCCCAACCATCAGATTACATGCTGTGATGAGCATTCCCTATCATCCCTTTACAATCATTATTTAAGCCAGGTGTGGAAATCTGATGTCAGCAGCTGCCCAACATAAACAGATTTAAATTTTAGGAAACAAGATGGATCGAAGTGGTGACTACATTCCTTTTCTACCCTGAAGTTTGAAGACCGAGCAGGTTGAACGGCGGTGTTAGTATACATGTGATGAGTACTCCTCTTTTGCAAATTGTCCACTTATAGGTTTTTGATGCTGCACTAAATTGGCATTAGTCCCGGTTCGCTAATTTCCCATCCAACATTTTACCACTTCCAAGGTTGTTTAAGTTCAGTGATTATACCCAAGTAAGAATTCAGGAAGGCAAGTTAGGAAAACAAACGTTTTCGATTAATTCATAATCAGGCAAATACAATAATATAAGGGAGGGTAGAGTTAACAAAGGTTTAAGCCATCAATCAATAGTAACTAGGGGGGTGAAGGGGGGAGAAGGGGGAGGCACTAAGGCTCCCGTGGCAAAAGACCAACTTAACATCCATCCACACGTTTCCTACCGCCGTGACGGGGACGAAACAGCGACAGCAAGCATCCGTAGGCCACCTACGCCGTCAGGAGACGATGACACCGTGTGCCCTCATGCCTCCCAACAAAAGGCGAGGCAGGAACGACGGGTTGACAAGACGTAATTGTCGGACTCCTTCTCCCATTTTCCCTCCTTACTGCCTCATGATGACTACAATCTAACCCCTTTGAGGCCTAAACATCTCTCCCCTCCCCTAATTACTTCTGATTAGTTGCTTAAATTTTAGTCACCTCTACCCTTACTTATACTATTGTATTTGCCTGATGATGAATTCATCGAAAAAGTTGGTTCACCGAACTTCCAAGATTCTTAAACACGTTTATTTTATTAGCATTTTTAGACCATTTTTTATTTCTAGAGGTCTGCCAATTGTGCAATTGAGCAAACTTTGCAGTTCAAATGTTTATACATTTTTCCATTTTCAATTCCCTACTGGTACTTTTGGTCCACCTTGCACCCTTTAAATCCTTCCCAAAGTAACTGAACCCATGAAAAGTCCAGGGCGTGCAAAGGACCAGGTTTATCAAGATTATATAGTATTTTACAATCACACGAGGCAGATAATATTGCCGGCAAATACAAAGGAGACAGCCCCATTTGTTTTTGCCAGCAATACTATTTGCCTACGTCCAGCTGTTATGGCTCCGTTACAACAGAGCGGGACAGATGAGTTCCGTTAGCAGTCAGGTGAACGGTAATCAATGAGTGAGAATCACATGAGGCCCTAGATGCAAAACGGGTTTACATCCGTGGCGAAATATGGGTTTCCTTGGGTAGTTTTATTAGCACGTAGACAGTGCTGACGAAGACTGTCTGCGTAGAAAGCATTGACAGAATTTGCGTCCCAAGTTTTTAACTCGGGAATTACAATGATAGCCACAGTATAATTTCTTATCATCCCTTTACAATCATTGAAGAGAGTTAAGGGGAGTGCTGAAAATATGATATGAGCATTTGCCTTAAATAAACAGATTTACATTTTAGGACCGAGATGGTGATTACACTGTTTTTTTTTGCCCTATAGTTTGAAGACCCAGTCGGAAGAACGACAGTGTTTGTATGCATTTAAAGAGTACTTCCGTTTTGTAGATTACCCACTTGTAGGGTTTTTTATGCTGCACTAAAGTGCATTAGTTCCGGTTAGTTTAATTCACATCCAATATTTCAACAAAGTACCACGATTCTTAAACACGTGTATTTTATCAGCATTTTCAAATCATTTGACTTACTTACATATTCGGAGGGTTTCTTTCTATCTACAAAGGACTATACATACAGGTCCTCCACAGGAATGGTAACTTATTCCAACCGGCAGAAAAACTAGTCTCGCTCTTTGCCATTTTGGGGTTATAAACAGATGCTAACTACAACCTCCTAGCTGTTTTCTTATCTGATATTGGTATTGAATGAATTTCTAAATAGCCTACTACCAGGATGTTTGTGTCTATTCCAGTTTTGGCATATATATTTTCCTTGCTTACGAAGACTGTCTGAATAGGAATCATTTACAGAATCTTCATCCCAATTAAACTGATAGCAGAAGAATCACTTGGCTCGCGCGTGTTAGCAATTTAGCGCGCACTATAGTTCCAGTATAAGTCTTTACAAGCTCTTTTAAAGTAGTGTTGAGTTTGCTCATCTGCTCGTTTCAGTCTAGTCCATGATTTCTTAATTCATGCATAGTCAGATTTGAACGTAAAGGCTTGTTTTATGGACATAAGATTTGACCAAGTAATCCATGAATCTTTACGGCAAAAAAAATCATATTAAATTAGCTGTAGGGTCCTCTGAAAAGGAAAGTTCGTAATGTTTGGAGTTCTTTTGTGTATTATCGATCATCCCACTGGTTCGTAAAAATGTATAATGATTATTCATATTGGCTAAACCGATCCTCCTAAATAGACCTAAATTTATACTTTCTTACGACTCCTCTGTCTGCCAAAAATAGAGGTTCGAGCGTGGTTCAAAGTCTTCATGATGAAAGCCCGAAACGCAAGTAATTTGGTCCTTCATAGGGGCGTTCGTTTTAGATGTTCATCGGAACTGTTTTTATCAATAGTTGCGCCCTCATGGCTTACGCAGATATACAGAAGAATTTAAAAAGTGCGCTAAAACTTTAGAGGGCTTCGATCCCTTCGCCGTCGGCAATAGCGCGATACAGCCCGCATAACTGCGCAGTATACAGCTCTGAAGCGAACAATTCTCTCTCGGAATAGCTTCACCTTGCCTGCGCTGCATAACGACCGTATTTGCAGCCTGTTGAGTGGATAGTTTAAGAGTCATTCTCTTTACGTCCTCTATTTGGATTTCAACGAGCGTGCATATTTTTTGTTGTTTATTGAATGCTGCATTCGTTAATTATTTTTTAAATTGTCAAAGGATAAACTGACGAACATAAGTTTGTTTTCGATAAATTCTCGTCAGGCTTTTACATTTCCATGGTAATTAACTAAATAGACTATGCGTGTCTGTAGAAAAATAGTGCGGTTTTCAGGTTCTATAACTTGAGAGCACCTTCTACATTACTCGGAAGGCCTCTCCGGCATCCACG